TCCTGTGTGACCTGCTGTAGGTGAACCTGCTTTAGCAGGGGTTTGGACTAGATCTCTCCAGAGGTCCCTTCCAACCCCCGCTATACTGTGATTTTGTGATAAAAACACTGCTCTGCACATGAGAAAATGTGTGTGTGAAAACAATTAGGTTAGAATGTTTCATTGCAAACGGAAGAGACCCCAATGCCAATCATGACTGTGTTCTGGCATATCTGCATTATGTATTTTCAGGGAATACGTGTCCTCTCTTACACATTCATTCACATACACTCACATGCATAATAATCTTCAGAAGCAAACAGATGCCCCATGGATCACTGCTGATGCTTCAATAATTTGCCACTGAATTCAATTCCACCACCCCTGCTTTTTGTAAGGCAATTTCTAGAGCGACTATACTTGAGGATGACTTATGCATGAGCTGGCTGGCTGTAACATCTACCAGATTTCAGTACAATCAATCCTGCAACTCATGTCTGGCCATTAAGTTAATTTCTCTGCTCTCAAAAAATGAATTCCCAAATGTGTACTGTAAGCGTTTTCTCATGGATGAATTGTTTTTGTCCTGATGCTTCTCACCAAAAATAGAAAAACATGGCCGCTAAAGGCTCAGCCAGTTGTCTTCTGTCTTCATGATTTGACGAAAGATTATGCCTGAGCGTATATATGCTTCTCCTTGCATATATTGTCTAGTTTTCCATAAGCGTCCACAAACATGGGTATTACTTTTTTCTACACCTATGAAAGGCAACAAGAGTGTCCTTAGAGAACAGCTTCAATGATCCTGCAGATGTTCTTCAGTGAAAGAAATTATAAGGGCAGGAAGCGAATCAATCAATGGTTTTTTTTCTCTCTCAGCTTTGCAGTATCTTTGAAAACTAGCAGAATTTTCCTACTTCTACTGCACGATGCATTGTTAAAGAGTCGAGATAAGTAGCAGCACTAGCAGCATAGCAAAGTGCAGGGCAGGGGTTCAGGATGCTTCTCTAGGGACGAGCAGGATGAAGGAAGAAGAGGAGCCTGAGGTCTATGGCATAGAGCAGTAAGTCCTTTTATCATGAGACCAAAGCACTAAAAATTCCTAAAGCACACTAACTAAAACATTGAGAAGCCACTACTCCACGTCAGAAGGTCATAAATGAAGTGGCAGAACAGAAATTAAAGTATTTGCCATTGGTAACACTGCAGAAGTTGAAGCTAGAAAAAAATTAAACCAAAGAGAATGCATATGGTTGTGCTATATTAGCCACTAGAAAAGCATACCAGGAGTTGGGGTGGGGTGTCGTCTGTCCTTGGCATTTTTAAAGTTGAAATTAGTTTTGTTCCTAAAAATTTCTTTGGATTCAGAGAAGAACCAACCACATTTTCACATACATAATGACAAGAACCCATCCATAAATAAATCTGTCATTCAGTACCAGAGTGAATTATATGAATAACTTAAGTGGAAGCTTATCCCAGGGCGTAGTTTATCCTAATAGCCTCCTGTGTCCGATTCCTTATAAGCTGCTTTCTGCCCCAGTAACTCCATTATCACCCTCACTTCTGTATCTTCCTCCTTTCAAACCCTAATAGCAGGAACCTCTCCCAGAGCCAGGCAACCAAATAGCTCCATAGTCATCTTATGAGAACCACAGTTTACTACAGAGTAAGGGCTCTCTGAAAATCTGTGAATAAACAAACTTGCAAAGAGCTACAGTACTGAGAAGAAAATGTGGTACCTGAGAGGACTCTTTACAAAGACGTCATAGTAGACATTTTAAATGGTCCCATCTGATCCCCCTTAATCAATAAATTTAGAAATATGTTGTCAACCACAAACATTTATGACACAGACTTACACAATATCAAAACAAACATTAGTTTCTTTTTACTCGCCTGACAGTGCTTGACTCTCTGGTATTTGTAATTGCAAATGAATCCTTCATTTCTTCTTCCATACAAATCAAAATGAAAAATTCTATTTCTTTCTAGTGGTGTAGCCCCCTGATCTCAGATGTAGAACGAGTAGGCTTTCAAAGAAAGGGTAAACCCTGCATATAATCTGTGGTAAAAATGTGAAAGATGTCAGCCTCCTCCCGTTGAACTTGGCTAACCCTTAATATACTAACCTCAGATATCGAGGTTATCATGCATGGAAAAAACAAGAAACCTATTTTAATTGCAGCCACTTACACTCTTTTCTCTATATTACCACTTCAACTCATTTTTCTTCATTGTTCTTTTAGGAATTATACTCTCAGTCCTACGATGCTGTTGGTGTGATGTTTGCTTCTATTCCTGGATTTGCTGACTTCTATTCCCAGACTGAGATGAATAACCAAGGAGTAGAATGTCTGCGCTTGCTGAATGAAATCATTGCAGACTTTGATGAGGTAATACCACCTACTAGAGAAAATCTGATAGTGTTTAAACAATGGGTTCCCAAATACCAGATATATCATCATAAATGATCAAATTTAGTAACTATTCTTCTTCCAATAATTGTCTGGGGTTTTTTTAATTACAATTGTCTGGGATTTTTTTAATTACAATTGTCTCTTTTGCTTTTTTGTACTTAGTCTTCCCAAACGTTGGTCTGAATGCCCTAGTGAGGTAGAGACTGAAATCAATAGCTGCTTGAGTATAAACATGCATAAATAAATGCACAGTCTGCTCCAGTGTATCTAGAAGTAGAACATACCTTAGTTACGTAGAAGAAATTGCAATAGTTCTGGAAAGTAGTGGTCTAAATCCAAACAGATAAAGATGTTGTTTTGAAGAAGATGATTGAACAGACTCAATTAATATTAAAGGTAAAACAGTGTCAAGTTCAGTGTCAAGTTAAACGTGAAGCACATAACTCAGAAGCAAACGTTAGGTAGAGAATGAAGTGGTGACATATTAACTTATTTTCTGGTCAGGGACGTTATACAGAGGTAAACTAAGTAAAGCTGCTTGCTTGACTGAGGAATTCAGAGGTGAAGGGAAATTTTAAAAAAGAAAAATAAATGGAAAGGACATAGAAAGGAAAAACAATTTATTTAGGTATCCTGTCCAGTTAATTTCAGAAAGGGAACTGAGGAAGAAATAAGATAAACAGGAGAAGAAAAGTCAGATTCCTGGTGCAGCTGTTGCCAGGTGGAAGCAAGGAAAACCTGGAAAGTGAAGAAGAACTCTAGAGCAAATTTCATACTTGGTATTGCATACTCTGCCAACTAGGTAGTAAGAAAGCTTAAATAGGTGGTACTGTGTCCTGCGATGAGCCCAAGAGGAATTAAGAAAGGGGACAAAGAATAGGCCAACAAAAAGCTTTGAAACAACTTTAAAAGTAGGAAGGGAGAAAAAATAAGGCCAAAATTACCTAGCATGGGGAATTTTAACCTATACACTGCAAGCAGTTTTCAGGAGTGCGTGGCCCTCCTGAGCTCCCCAAGCGGTAGAAGTAGAATGTGAGCCATCTCCACTTAACAGTGAGGTTGGATCTGTGTGCCAGACTGCAATGGTCCGGATAGAAAAGGTGAGGGGAAAGGGGGAGGTGGCAGTGGTATCGTTGGTCTGTGACTCTGTTTTTTGGAGAAGTTATTTAAAGAGAAAGTGAGAAAAAGTCATCCTTTTCAGAATTCTGCTGAGCAAGGCAAGATTAGTACAAAACTGGACAGCAGGGGAGAGGGCACATGGATGGCAACAAATAATTGAGAAACAGTAAAAAATGCTACCCAAGAAACTTATGTTCTCTTTAACTTCTGTTTATCCCAAGAAACTTTTTAATTCATTTCTGTGTTGTGGTAGAGTATCAACTGGAGAAGGGATGAGTGTCTTGTCAGCTTAAAATCAAGATGCAGTTCAAGAAAACAGAATTTTTGCTTCAAAAGGAGCTAGATCTGGATCTCACATCCCACATGAGCTATGTAACCATGGAGCTATTGTCTAAAACAGAAGAGCTCTACTTAGGCTGTGGTTTGAAAAAAGGGAACATCTTTCACCATTTTGGCTCTCAACTCAAAAAGCATTTTCAGAGTGCAAAAGATTGAGTTTTTGAGAGAAGACAAGAAGGCTTTTAGTCTTTTCATCTGGACCAGGATTCTGCCCATAGATTAAGCATACAGAAAACTTTTTTCCAGAAAACTGAGGCATTGGCAGAGTTCAGACCTCTCCAGGGTTTAGAAAAGCTGAATGAAGATTTGAGAATCAGTGTTTTTTTCTTTACTTTACTTACTTAGTTCTACTTCAATCCTACTTTAAACACTTATCTCTCTTTGATGATCTAGCGTAGAGGTTTTGTTTTGGTTTAGATTTTTTTTGCTTTGAAGAGCGAGTATCTCCAAGGGCTTCAGAGGAAGGTACTGGAGGAAAAGATTGAAGTGGAAGGCATGCAATTGAGAGAAGAGATTAGGAAAAAATATTGTTATTTTCTTTTTATTCCATCCTGAGCAGCAAGTACCTAAGACCTCTCACAGGTTTTGAAGAATTTATTTTCAATTTGCTGCGCTGGTGGAAGTTACTTTTTCTTCATTTCATAAGTGGAAAACAAAGGCAAAAAGCGTTAACCAACTTTCCTGCATTTTTTGGAAAAAAAAAAAAAAAAAAGATAACTGTTCCCGTGCCAGAAGCTAGAACCTAAATCTGAATTCAGATCAGGGTCTTAACTGCACCTTCGTCCTTCCTCATCCTGGGCATCTGCATGGGGAATTTTTATAGAGTGGTAGCTCATAAAAACTGGACCAGGGTTGAGATCACCAAACTCTGAGACAATTAAATCAAGAGTTTATCCATATAATTGGTCAGATACTAAAATTACTAGTGGGAAACAGAAGAATTCGCAGGGGATGCATACCTGTGCGTTTTAGTAGAAAACAAAACTACTCTCCTATGAGAAGAGCTCTGTCCTCTTCTAAGCTCCTGCACTGCTTTCCTTATAGGTATAAATACCTGTTTCTTATCTCTGAGATCTTGCACAGCTGTCAGCACGCTTCTTGATTAATAGTTTTGTTTTTCTTTCCAGATCTGATTAAAACGATTATGGCACAAACTTAATGCAAATCCTATTGCTATGAATTAATTTGAGATGTTTTGTCACGCATGTTCATATAATCTCCACGACAAAATTCCATTGCTGCTGTGGCGATTACTGAAGACAAGGTTTTCATCAAAAGTCCTAACACAATATTATATTCAGGCCCCCAACACCTGCTCTGTAATTAATAAAGGACCTAATTAGGGACTGTATTATGTCCCAGACGTGTTTAGTTGAATAATAGATATGTTCTTGGTACGGGTAGTAAATGAAATTATGTGATCCCCTGCTGACTGCTAACCCACTTCTAGCATCATCATGCCATCAGTTTATTCTGTCTAAACAATCTGAAAGGTGATATGACATAGAAAGCAACTGAAATGAGCAATGCTACCCGTGGAAAAGGAACCAGGAGTCATTTCAGGTATGATCCTTCTTGACCAGTAATGTTTCCATGTAACTATTGACTGACATGATGTCACTATTCCTTGTTTTTCATTGTTTTTGGCCAAACTTGACTGCTGTCTCAATACAGCCCTGGAAGCAGAATGCAGATGTGCAGCTTGACAGCAGAGCAGAACTGTTAGCCATGGGAAAACTTTGCTCCTCAGCATCACGTGAACACCTCTGTAGAGGTACCCAAATGTAGAAGTCTTAGCACAGGAGTGTAAGACATAGGTACCTGGTGGCATTTGAGATGTCCTAGGTGATTTGAGGCGCTCACATGGGATCGCCAAGTCCCATACTACACTGTCAGAAAATCCATGCTGTTGTGGAGCAAGCCATTGGAGGTTTTTCAGGGACGCATGTTCTGGATGACACTAGATATCTGTGTTCAGACAACCGAATTGAGTTCCTGATCTCAAATCAGACTCTACACTGAGTCCCCTCATTTCCTTACAGAGATAACGGTAAAAGGGACGATCTGTCCACAGGGCCAGGAAGAGGTTTCTGAATGAAAGCAGTGGAAAAATACAAATTCACCTGGTTTGGAAAATGTGATACGTGCATGAGAAGATGTGGGTTATTTCTTCCTTCTTTTTAGAGAAGTTTCCTTGTTACTGAGAAACAGAAGGCTTACAATCCGGATCTGTTGTTTTCCTGGTAATGGATCTATGTTAGACAGACGAAGCCAGTCAAACAAAAAATAGTGAACGGTGGAACAGAACCTGCCACCAACAACTGTATAGGGTAGGAGCCCACAGAGGAGTCAGGTAGTGACTGGGTCTTTCTTAGGGAACTGGGAGAACCTGGTCCAAAAGTTGGTCTTGGGAAGTAGGTGACTGACTCTTCTCAAACCACAGCCTTTACTCAGGGTCTTTTTTCCCTGACAGCTCACAAATCTGTTGATTTCCAAATTATCCAGGAAATCTGTCGACTGAGGCAGAATGGGAGGTATTGGTTTCTGGATTGACAAAATGAGATTTTATTTTTGTAATTTGACATAGAGCATCGTTATAAAATACAACTATATATAATTTCCTATTCTGCACCCAAGCCCAGAGGTGCTGACAGAAACAGCTCATATATCAAAAAACAAACACGAACATTTCAAATCTACTCTTATAATTACCCATTTTTTATATGGCTGTCATCTTAAGACACATACAGAGCTAAACTCCCATTCTTAGAGACGTTGCACCAAAAAAAAGAATATTGGAACATTTCTCCTGAAGATTATGAATCTTGAAGGATTTTTTTTTTTTGCAATGTAATATTCTTTCTAGCCTTTTTAATCTATCATTTATGTATCTTAGTGATGTTAAAGTTGGGATTTGTGCTTTAATAAGAGCTTTCTAGTTCATGGGCTCTTCCCCCCGCCCCCATTTTCTTTATCCTGCAGTGATTTACACGGTGTTTATGACAACGGATTTTAATATATTATGTCGCCGCAAATAGAGGTTTCTGCAGAACACAGTATCCTGCTTTCAGACTTCACTGATTACTTTGCAATTGTGTGCTATGTTCTGGAACATTCTCTTTTGTACTACTTTGTACATGTTTCATTGCATGCGTATATCCCAGGGTCTGACCTCCATATAACCTTGGCAGTACATGAATTGCAGCATCAAGCCATTAGTTGCTTTTCAGATACCAGCCACATTCTAGTGTTTGAAAATGTTCCCTGGACTATCTTGGTAAGTTAGCAAGCCTATTTAAAATGTCGTAACAAATAGCAGCTGATTTAGGACTGAGCCGGAATATCTTCCCCCAGTATCAAAATCCATCATCTTGTCATACTGTGAAGAAGGTAATTGGTAAATAAGTCATTATTTGAAGAAGGAAAGAAGCTATTGAACAGACAAGATAAAGCAGGAAAAAAATAGAGATGTGGAAACAATAACGAATGAGAAGTAAAAAAGTTAACTTGAGATTATTTCTTCTAAATTGCCTCAGAGCCAATAGGTTCTTTCTTTCTTAAAATGAGTAATTTTAGATATTTATCATACATTTTAAATTACTGTGCTGTTTACTGTTGTTTCCAGCAACCATCTGGAACTGAAAATACAGGCTGTTTTTAACCAAGACCATTTTCTCCCCTTGCCCACATACCTGGTGCTCTCAGACTGCTCACAAGGGCAGAGCTACAAGAAATTATCTTTTTCTTTAAGAGAGCAGTTGGAAGAACTGCCCTTGTAGGAGGCAAACATAGATAATGGGCTTTTCTGGCAGTTCGAAGAAAAATGAGAAGCAGGTCAAGTTTTTGGACTTTCCTGACTTGGAAAGGAGCCATTAACCATATGGCTTTGTATTCCCTGTGCACAACGCTGTGCAGCCTCCCATTAGAGACAGATGGTGCGATATCTGTACACGAACAGCAAAGCTTCCAAGACCCCGGCTCTCCGGCTGACGTACACTGTGCTTAGTTCAATGGCAGGGGATATTTCATGTTATGCCTTTGGTATGTTTCTCCCTTTGAATGAAATAATCCCTTTAATTTTTAATTGACAGGAAATTCAAGCCCACAAGATGGGAAAAGAGTGCACAACAGCATATTAAAACAAGAGGAAATGCTTCGTTAAATTTTTGCTTGACCACAGCAAGATTTTTTTTTCATTAAAAACCCAACTAAGTTCAGCCTTTAGAACTGAAAGTTTGAAATTCCTTTTCTCTGTGAACTGTTGGTTTGTTTTTTTTTTTTCTTCCAGGACTGCCTAACCATATTGATGCCTAAATTTATTAGATACTGTACTGCTCATCATTAAGTTTCCCAGTGTATTTGGGTGTTAACATCAGCAAAATACATTTTTAAAGCCTGTGGTGAGGTGATACGTGCCTATATCCAACACATGGCTCTACTGTCATTGATAGAGTTCAAAATCTGAGCTCTGCTTAACTGTCTTAAGGACTGTAAGGCTCTGGCTTCTATTTCATGGAAAGTCCTAAGTTAAACTGTGAATATGGAGTTTGAATAGGGACCAAACTGCCACTCCCACTCCAGTCAGTGCTTTAGTCACTACGCTAAATTTATTCTTCCTCTTGCAGATTCTCAATCCAACAAGTCCTTTATGCCGACGTAGCACTATAGCTATCGTAAATAAATACAGGTGTTTACCACTTCCCACTGGTTCTCCATATTTTTTAGAAGGGAAAAATACCTAACAACAGTGCAGACTGAATGACCCAATGGACACAGCAGTGCTAACTCTGACAGTAGATAGAGAGAAGCATGGGATACAGGAGGACTTGATCTCTCACAGAAGTTATTTGGAGGTATCTACCTCCACCCACTAACTCTGTAAGATGGTTAAAATGGTTATTTTAAGTGGACTGAGTTCCCTTTAACACTGGTCTCATCACCTGAATTGTCCCTGCAGCAGCACTTAATTCCCAAACTGAATTCCTCCAAAAGAGATTGAGGAATACTTCTAAGTGATCAAATTTTCTTACGTTCACATGCACATGCACAGAGAGTTTGTCTTCAGTAATTGTCAGTGATCATACCTCAGGAAAAGCAGGACTCATCTGCATTTATGTTAGGCTGGAATATGCATGTCTTATATTACCCATTATGTGATTTAGCAAACAGCTTTGCAGAGGAGAGCAGAATTTAGCTGGAATGCACTCTGTGAATAGATGATGCTGCAAAGAGTCCCAGCTCAGTGTGCCCCAGAACCCAGAATGGACTGTGCACCATGACCAACTGGAAGATACCATGAGTGTGATGATTAATTTCGATATCTGTAGAAACATTTTGCATTAAGAATTACAGAAGTAATAATGTTTTTTTATGTATGTATTAGTTACTAGGTGAAGAGAGATTTCAAGATATCGAAAAAATTAAAACGATTGGCAGCACATACATGGCGGTGTCAGGATTATCACCTGAAAAACAGGTAAGAATAGTTTTCTTTACGAAGCAAGGCTTTTGGTGTGTCTGGCCATTCATATTATAGAATATCAGTGTATCTTTATGATGTTCATAGAGCTGTATTTGCTAAAAGAAAATAGACATTTGGGGCTTCTGGCAGACAACAGTTGCACTTCTTGATGAATTGAAATGCCATCTTGTGCTTGGAACAAGAACCATATGGATTCCTTCCTCAAATTTAGGTTTGTAGGAGAGTGGAAAAAAACCTCCTTTCAATCACACTGATGTGAATCTACAGCAGGTCTATCTCTCTCTTCGGACATACTCTAAGGTTGCCCCTGTAACCCAGACTGCAATCTGGCTGACAGATTCCCATAACCAATGAAGAGAGAGGATCTATTAACTGACAAAATTTTTATGCAAGTGTAAGGTTGTGTTTATACATTTTTGTGATGATGTAGCTGTATACCTACAGGCAGCACAATAAACTTGTACATGAAAAAGAAAGTAGACCCATTACTTCAACTGAAGAACACCACAAAGCCAGAAGCCTGCACACTGTCCTCACTTGCAGAGGTACAAACCAAGCTGAGGGAAAAATCAGCCACAGAGGACACACGCACAGTCACAGCCATAAAACTCAGATAAGTCAGATGAAAGAAATCCATTCATAATTACACCCAAGAATATGCCTGGAAGCAGGATCTCCACAGGAATAAGACAAGAATCTAAAATACATCCAGCGAGAAGTCGTCTGTTGTTGAAATCTGTCTTGCTTGGCAACCAGTGATTCTCCCCAGGGAAGAGCAAAACAAAAAAGGGTGTGCTGCCCCAGATCAACCACAGAGTGGGAATCAGATCTGCCCACATTGATTGCAACTGCCATAAAAGCAGAAGCCAGATTAGCTTTATAAACTAGAAAATTTCCATTGTTTGCTTAGAGTTCATTATAAAATATGTGGAGTGTAACTGGCTGAGCATTTTCCACCTACAGAGTAACAAGTGATGCTGACAAACAGAAATCCACAAAACTAGATGTGCATGAGAGGTTTTTTTGTCTTAACTCAAAATGTTTCTGTGCAGAGAAGAGCAAAGAAGGACTGAACATCAGGGAGGTAGCTGGTTATAACTACACAGCTCCTAACCAATTCTTTTAACTCTTGATGTGGGTAAAAATTCAAACGGAGAAAATTTTTACTGCATTTCCAAGCCTGATTAACTCATCCTTTTACTTGGACTATAATAGCCTAATGGCATTTTTTATATATGTTTTAAGTATACTTATCTTCATACATACGTGTCTATCACCTCGTCAGCATCTAAGAGGTATGATGTCATCTCATCTATTCCGAAGCCAGGTAATTCTTTCGTCAAACAAATTTCCCGTCCATAGGGCTGCTGAGGGAGTTTGGCATGCTGTGAACTGAATGAGGCTGAGGACGTGAACCAAGCACGGTGTGAGCAGAACAGGGTGATGCCACGGAGATGCTTATCTTCAGTATTAAACACTGAGGATGATGAAAATTGCAAAGGGATGGACTGCATGACTTTTGTTCCTATGGATTGCAAATTTGTTTGATGAAAGAATTACCTGGCTTCAGAATAGATGAGATGACATCATACAACTATCGGGCCAAAACTACAGCTGTTCCTTACTTCACTGCCTACTCAGAGAAACAATTACGGAGTTCCCTATCCTGTCTTGAGAGTGCCTGCCCCATCATCTGTTCTGTTGGTGTTCTTGGAAGTCTAAAACCCACTTCTGGTCCCCATTTGTATGTTGACTGCACTGTAGGGATGGAAATGGAGGAGAAAGAGAAGAGAGTAACTGGATCGCTCTACGCAGAGGCAATTAATGAGCTACAGAATAGCCTTTTCTCTCCTATTTAACCTGTCCCAGGTTGCCTGGCTTGCACTGTTGTTCCTGTCACTATTTCATCCCTGGGTCCGCTGGAATCGGGGTTTTTCCCGATTGTGACACTTTCAGCAAAGGAGAATTAGATCTTTCACATCTTTGGCTCTACTTTTTGCTTATGTGGATCATCTCTGGTCCTCACTGGATTTCATTCCTTGAACCTGAGCTATCTCAATCCTCTCTATACTTTCTTTCTCAGCCTTAGATAGATTTCATGTGCCTTATTAATTCCCATGATTTCCTGTCAGATGATTGACAGGAAATTACTTTCTTTGGTACTTCATGCTAAGCTTCTCTGTATCCAGATATACAAGTGTTGTAATATAAATGGGAAGCATTATCATTAATAATACCCTGCCTCTCTTGGATCTAGTATGTTGAGACTGTTCTTACAAATTCCAAATTCAGGTACTTGGCACTTGGTAGAGATGGGTGGGAGCTGGGCAAATGCAAAACTTTTCTAACGTACTGCTTTATAACTTACTCCTCAGCAATGTGAAGACAAATGGGGGCATCTGTGTGCTCTGGCCGACTTCTCCATCGCTCTGAATGAAAGCATACAGGAGATCAACAAACATTCGTTTAACAATTTTGAACTCCGTATTGGTAAGCATAGTTCAAACATGAGAATTAAAATAGGGTTTTGTCCGCAAGGATGCGATTGTGTAAGTGCACCCCAGGAGCTCTGCAAGGACATGTACAATTTGAGAGACGCCAAATACTGTATCCCCTGTTTTCAAATTGACTTAATCCTAGGCAGTTAGAAATAAGAAATATCTCTGTTTGCAGAATATGGGCCCTGATTTGGGGACTGCAGGAGTTGTAAGTTTTAGTGAATTGTGAATGGGTAGCATAATTAAGCTACTGTCTTTAGCAACTCTGGCCAAGACCCCATCGATATAATAAAAAAAGTGAACAAGGCAGCCCAGACCTAACCCCAAGCTTGGTACTGGCTTGCACAGTCTCTAATTAATCTCCCTGTCTTAGATTCTTCTTCAGTAAAGGGGTAATAGTAGCTTATTCTAAACCCTGTGTGTAGTACTTTGGTTTTGCACAAAAATCGAATTCCAGTTCTGACTGACCAGTGTCAGCTGCTCTGAATTGCTGTGCTGGGGAACTCTTATCTTGGATGGGATACCTGGATGGCTAGTAGGATGGGACATGAGAAGATGGCTTGAATATATGGCACATAGCAGGAGTAAATCTGATGGCTTCTCATGTTGGCTGGATCACTGGCCAAACCCAAAAACCACCTGGAAGAAACATGTCCTTTAGAGACAACCCTGTCATAAAAAAGCTGAAGTATATTCATCAGTCACAGCATGGAGGGTCACAGCATCTGTGATCTTCACTGCCTAACAGTTTTGAACAGAAAAGTTGCAGTTCCCAAGATTTCTCAGGGAACGTGCATCCACTCTTAGTAAGC